CCCCAAAACCCCAAAACCCCAAAACCCCAAAACCCCAAATAATAATATTAATATTGAAAGACATCATTTTTCTCAGTGATGACTATTAAACAGGTAGGAGGGGCTATTCGCTTAGCTATATTGATCTTTACAAGCAAGATTTGATTAAAAATCTGCTTGATTTTACCTAAATGTGCAGATGTATTGAATCATTACAGTGATTTAAAATAGAAATTTCTTAAACTTTTTGCATTTCAAACGGAGTCATGGGTGCTATTATATTTCCAGTGTGAAGTTTCTTACCCCAGTAAAGGAAATTCCTTCAAAAGAGGGCTTACCTTCACCTTAGGGAGGTTGTAAATGGGAAATCTGGGTGAATTTTGAATCTTCAGTTAGAATACATTTCTGACATTAATCCCTATGCCTAACTATTCTTTATAGTGAGCAACATCTCGATCGACTTTATGGTTAGTCGAGATAATCTATTCGATAATTCAAGCATCCCAGATGGGCCTCTCCTGGATTTTAGCAGACAATACACCTTTTCAAGTGCTAAATTGATGAGCCTTGCTGGTCTACTTCTGAAGACTTATCATGCATTTTTGATACAGAATGAATGATATCCACATGCAAGATTTTGAAGCTGATTATGATATAAATTTTGTAAAGTCAAAACAGAAGTCATACCTCTTGTTGAGGTTTCTCTGAACTGGGATCATCTGCAGTCTGAATGTTGCCAAAATCTATGTGATTCCTGACATAGACACCCTGCATTACTTCTGGCTCTTCCTCTGTGTATTTTCTTTTTCTAATATTCTTTATGAAATTTGTATTTTCTACTGCGTTAATGCAGAAGTACCAGATCAAGATGGAATGATTACGAGGCATCCTCAAAAACAAGAGTCCTTTATCCAGATCCCTGCGGCAAATCAAGGGGAACCAGATGATAAGCCTCTGATGTTTTCATTAGATGAAAGTGTGGATAACTTGTTTAAAAGTTTTAAGGAGAAGAAGGTAATAGTGATTATTCAAATTCTCTGTTGTTTTCCTACCATCTCTGGTTATTTTAAACCTCATCATTTGTAAAGGTACTGTACATAATGGTTAACGATGAACCACCAAAATCTCCAAGACATAGTATGGTGACTGAAAAGAGGTTCTCAGCCACTCAGGTGAAGGTGACCAAGGGCGGCTCCCAGATTATAATGAGTAAGAACTAGCTAGGAACTTTTCAACTCGAGTTTTCGTGCAGGCTTCATGATTCTTTAGATCCAGAGAATATGCTGATTTATACTGAAGGAAATAACGATAATGACTCCATTAATAAGAGAAGAAGGTATGTACAATAACAACCATTTTGGGGTATATCTTCTCAGATTGTTACCCTTCTTGGTCAAAGAGAGTTCCTGAAAATTTGAGTTTTAATTTCAGTGCGTTTAGCTCAGCTGCAGAAAGCCTGAAATCAATCAGGGAGAGAAGAATCAGAGAATCAGTAGAGTCCCCCAGGTTTGGTCATGGAAGCCGGAATAGTAGCATTACTAAAAAAAGGTACACATTTCACAGCTAAAAATGTATAGGAGTAGTTTAATGCCCTCTAATAAGGACTATGATGAGCTAGAACTTGCTTATACCATTACTAATATGGGTCGGCTCAAGATCTTTGATAAGAGAAAGCGTTACTTCAGTTTTAATGAGTCATCGAACCATTCTATTGAAAACTCCAGTGACCGGAGTGGCTTAAGAGGAGTTACAGGAGGTGTAAATCAAAAATTGAAGAATGATAATGATAATTACAAACAAGCTGGTCTGACTCCTTCCTTTGCTCCTGGTTATACTATGAGGTCTTATAAAGGTAGTAAATCTTAAAATTAGCTTCCTTCCTCTATAGAAATCCCAATTAGTTTAGCTATGTCTGTCAAAATTTTACTAAACTGCCCATAGACTCTAAACCAAAGAAGGGTCCAATTCAGAACCAGTTGAAAGAAATCGCCTCTAAAGTAAAGGAAGATAACTTCACCCTTCGAAGTTCCTCTGCCGAGTGTAAATCTCAAGCCAAAAGAATTGAAATGAGCTTCTACAGAAAGTGGAAGAACAAGGCCAAGAATACTTTTGGAATCAAACGCATTAGGAAATTCTCAGATAACCAGTAATTCCTAGATGTCTTATATGTAGAGAGCTGGTCGAAAAACCTCTAGACGTTAGCTCACCAAAGAAATACGCAGGAAATCTCTCCGCATCTTCATATGATTCTAGTTGATCTAGTTGTAAAGAGAGGAAGGAAAAATCCCGCCTTGAGAAACATCTCAAGGACTTTATAATACAGGAAGAAGACGATACCGAAAGCAAGAAGGCCAGTAAGAGAGAGACTAATACTGAACTCAATGGTATTATGGAGAGTGTCAATGAAACTTCTAGCCATGCTCATGACATGATCTCTCCGAGTAACTATCCTCAGTCAGAGATGTCTGAGTTTTCAGGGTATGTAAAATTTCTCATTTTTAGGCAAATTACTAGTCAATTAAATAGCTCTTCGGTTCATCCAATGCTAATGAGTTCTAAAAAGGGTGAAAATACTCCTCGGAGTCAAGTAAGCCAAGAAACTTCGCTAAAGAGCAAAACAAAGCTGAGGAAAAGAACCCGTGCTTCTGGAATAGACTTAGACAAATCGGAAGAGAAGACAATGGGCGAAAATTTCGACAAGATCCAACCAATTCTAAACCCCCGAGACCCAGTCATTGATTTTGACCAGGGAAGTCTTCAGCCTAGTGCCAATGATGAGAAAGAAGTACTTCGAAAAGAGTCACATACCAAGTCTTTGTCTGACAATGACGATACGAAACAAGAAGATGGGTCTATGAACCAAGTAGATCTGTTCAATGAAGATAAATAGCCCATATATTCTTATAACTGATAATTTTTCTTGAGTCTCTTATCATTAAATCACGAACTACCATTATCGAATTGATTTGTCATGCCAATAACAACACTAAATTATGACTTTTAGCTACCCCATTGAAATGATGAAGCCAAAAGCTTTGCTCGTATCTAAGATTGATGGCAACTGTAATGAACTGAATTTTATCCAAGCACTTCTTGGGTCATTATGGAATCTCAATTGTATTTTGATTAGCCTTATTAATTACAATCAACTTTTAGTGATATTTTAGCAAGAAATAGTCGTAGAATCAAGGAGAAATAACCCATCTATTTCTTTAACCATGGCGTCTTACTTTTTGGGAGATAACTATTACTAAAACTACTAAGTTTCACCCTAGGTTTGGTTCTATTCCCTCTATTATAGTGTTTTTATTTAGAAATCTTTACAAAGATAAGTTTTGATTAAGTATCTATATTTGGCTTTTTCATAGATCACAAATCAGCTTGGAACTCTTTATTATTAACAGATAGCCTGTATTTACAATCTCTAGGCTATGCTGCTGTAGTTAATGTCAAAGTATTTATTTTCAAAGATAATACTATATTTGTAATTATCATTATCATTCTTCAATTTTTGATTTACACCTCGGGGTTTTGGGGTTTTGGGGTTTTGGGGTTTTGGGG